CGGTTACACTTCTATTGATATGTTAATTGTAAACGCTACACTTTTGATACAAAGTGTAGCATTTACACTTTGCATATGAATGAAAGTGTGACCGTTTACACTTTGCATATTTGCGAATGCGTTGCTTTTTACAATTTGCATATAAATTCACCCTGTTTGCAAGAATAAATCGTTGGCGAGAACAATGATGCACGTGACCAAAAGTGGTATAATAATTAATATTGGAATTCTTAACTAGACATATGGTGAGCAGGACTATAGCAAGAAAATTGAAACTGTCTGTCTAAAACTTTATCAAAATGAAAAACAGCAGTTGCTAGTCTGCAGGTATAGACTTGTAGTTTATTTGTTGTTGATTATTTATAGTAATTATTTTATAATTTACAGGTAGTTTTACAGGTAATTTTTTAATAACATGCATGACTTGGTGTGAATTGTTATTCTTTATGACATATTGCCAAAAATTTGGTTTGTTTCCAGACCAGCTGATAGAGGGACAATACCTGTAGTCTCCCATCACAACCACAACACTACCAGTTTAAGAAATCAGAAATTGAACTACCACTTAATAGCATTTGTCATGATTACAAAACTAAAAATAACGTAATCATAGAACATGGTACAGTGCATGAACAAGATCAAATGAGGTCAAGGTGTGCAGACAATAATGACATTTTCAACCTCAACTGTGAATTTCAGTGTTTTTTTGTGAATTCTGAGAAAATTTATTTCATGCACAAAACCTTTGAGAAATAGTTTTAGTTTACATATTTTTTTGTTTGAATCGAAAATTTTCACAAGCAATTAATCACATGACATAATTAGTGAGGTAATTTGAGCAACAAACGATACCACTGTAATATGATTAGTTCTTACCTCTGAGCTGCTGTTGCTTGGATTTCTGCTTTTTTCTTGCGTTCCTCGTCTTCTCGTTTCTTTTTATTCTCTTCTGATGTTGAAATCTTTTTGCCAAGACTTCCTGTGGTAGTGTTTAATTTACTTGTATTCTTCAACTCGCCAAGCAATCCTCCTCCCCTCGTCGGCAGTGAACTTGATAACTGATGATACTAAAAAAACATAACAAATATGCTGAACTAAGGAGGTAACATTAAAAAAAAAGTTCATGCTAAAATCAACTTTTCTCACTTCAACATTTTTTTTCAAAAAATTGTCTTCCATATGTCTATCTACCACTCCACCACTAGGTAGGAAAATATTAGATTTGAAATGCTACAGAATCCATAAAACTGTTTTGTAAATCAGTGGTGGTTGTGCATAGTGTAAAACTTGAAACAATGAAACCAAACAGAATAACATGCACACCAGAAACCTGAAATGTAAAATATGTAAAAAAGCAGTATGACCTACTTTTATTGCGGCCTCTGGTACAGGAGTTAGATTTTCGGCTTCCATCACACTCAGCCTATCTGTTAACTTGGGACTTATACCAAAATCCTACACAATATAAGCACACAAGTTGTAATGTCAAATACTTTAGGCTGACTTTTTGGGTGTTTTGTATGGAGTTTATTTTTGATGACTTTTCAATGAATTGAATGAATAATTTCAAAAAAAGGGTATATTTGCAGGATTTGACAGAGTGTTATAACACTGTCCCTTTAAGGCTGTTTGACACACATTTGTGTTGCTACTGAGTACATGTGCACAATGCATTATGGGGGAGAAATCTCACATTGTAAATAACTGTTAATAAATAAATAACTCTGGAAACTGAAAAAAAAAATGTCATCAAGCAAAATTTTAAAATATGAAGAACTAATTTCACCATAAATCAAAGAAAGCTTAGAAAGAACTCCCATG